CTTGTGGGCAAAAATGTGATTTTGGTAGCTCGAAGAAAAACAGTCTGTCACATCTTTATATCAACGCTGAGGCCAATAATAAGGTCGAAATTTGCTTTATTTCTATTATTTTATTATTAAAAAGAACAGAATCCAAACACACACACACACACACACACACACACACACACACACAAACAGGTACATCCATCACTCATTCACAGGCCCGAGTGTTTTCTATCAGCTGAACATGATGAGATGCAGGAGAATGTGTGGGAGCAGAGAGCACCTCTGGATCCTCGGCGTCCTCCCACTCAGTGTGCAGTGTGAGACAGAAACAGAGCGTTTTGGTCTATTTCAGTCCCTGGATATGTGAGGTCTTTTCTTCACTGTTCCCTCCAAGACTAGAGTGACTCATGCTCAGTGTGACTTCTGCTCAAAGCAAGTTCGGCTGCTTGAAAAATCAAACACCAAAAGTGGAATGCAAATGTCCTAACTTCCTGTCAAAAAAAAAAAAAAAAAAAAAAAGAATAAACACTATTTGGATCCATGCTCAGATTATCATTCAGTAATCTGTTTTTAATCATTTTCTTTCTTGTCCCAAAGACCTAAAAACAGGGGTGTCAAACTTGTTTTCTCTCAGGGGCCACATGAACATCATGGTGGCCCTCAAAGGGCCAGTTGGAACAAACGTTGATGTTTTGTGTTTAACTTCGACTAAACACATCACATKCCTCCTCTCATTGCTACGGCTCGGCGCCGCTAACAAACAATAACAGAGCTCTACGTGGTTTTTCCTGCATATTAACGCTGACAAGTACTATGTAAACGACATTAAACGTGAAATAAATAATACAGAAATACTATTAAAATTAAAATAAGGGAGTTTTATTCGCTGTTGAGTTGTGGTGAGTAGCTGCCATCTTGAATTCTGAACTGTCCTAAAAATGCACCTCCACCTGTTGGTGGGAGGCTGTCATTCTGCAGGTAAAATAATTAACATGCACTATGGGAGGTGTAGTTAACGGTCAATACTGGCTTTAAAGCAGCACACACTTATTTTTGAGACATTAATACATCTTTAAAGCGTTTGCGGGCCATGTAAAATGTCGCGTCTGGCCACTTCTGGCCCACGGGCCTTGAGTTTGACACAAGTGACATAAATGATCATATCTACAGTTTGAAAAGTTATAAGGATGGAAGCATTTTGTGTTAAACTTATTTGTCAGGGTATGTTAGTCAGTATGTAAGTAAACTTTATTTCTATACCTTTCACAGACACAAACATCACAAAGTGCTTAACAGAGAGCAAAATAACTAAAAACAATAAAACAGATCACACATATAAAACACAACAATTAAAACACAGTAAAAAGCACTTAACCTAAAAGTCTGTCTGAATAAAAATGTCTTAAGATGTTTCTTAAAAGAGTCAGTAGAATGTGAGCAGCGAAGGGACAGAGGGAGAGCGTTCCAGAGCCTTGGTGCCACCACCTGAAAATCTTTGTCTCCACGAGTTTTATAATGGGTTCGAGGGACCACCAGCAGCATTTGATTAGAAGACCTCTAAAACCTGGATGGACAGAGAGGCTTGTTAACCTCATGTTCTGTTAAATGTTTCGAGTTTTACAATTTTCTCCCTTTGCATAAACACTCAATGTTTCCTTCCTTGTCTGCCACATTTATTTTCCTAATTACTGAGTTTGTTTTTAGTTAATGCTTTTATTTGCTTATTAGGTCTGTCCTGAGTTTGAAATCAAATTAAAAATAAACTTAATAAATAAAGCAAAAGGTTCATATGACAGCAAAATCTCACAATAACTGWGGATAATGCTCAGAGATGAGCCGACATGGAATTAGGCACAATAATGCAGAGGAGCAGTTTGCCTCATCAGGACCAACGTCCAAGTTCACCTCAGTCAGAGGAGCATCGCATGTCTGTCAGGGCTGCAAATCATTCAGAAAACCTAGTTTTGCAAGCAACTATACTGTGTACTCAAACCTGGACTGCAATTTGTTGCCTGACCAACATGTGTCCATCTGGACCAGTCCCTACCTTTGGGTCCGTTAACATCTTGTTTCAATGGAGTCTGCAGAAGCCCTATTGCAGGGGTCTCATGCATTCTTGTCCAGGGATTTGTGGAGGCCTGGCATGTTTTATTTGCTGTTCATCAGTTGTGGGTTAGTCATCCAAACACAGATTCTTCAAACATCCTGTCAGGATGTATCATAGGGTTCTACCAAGTTCACGAGCCATCTGGGGATTTACCCCGAGTCCAGGTTTGAGGACATTCCCCTTGTCCAAACTCACACTTTACCAGTTTCAGTCAAGGGTCCACTGCAACAGGTGCAGGTGTCCCAACACRCTCGGGGACTGGGGGAGGAGGACAGACGGAGACAATGAGGATGGGCTGAAGCAAGAGACTAAGCAGGAAGTGAAAGAGGAWAGACAAAGTTAAGCAGTGTGAGCAAGATTGTTTCCACGATTTTAGTGAATACAACTGTTTTTCACAAAAACATACATTTGCACATTTCTAAGTAAGACAATATATATATA